GTCAAGAATAACAAAGTCAACAGGCGATAAAAGATCTCCCAGCTTGCAAACAAACATAGCCTTGTAGTAGAGGTAGAGGTCGAATCGACCAAGTCGGTATCCTATAAACCAAATCCAACCAATAAGGTGAACTCAATTCGGCTCAGTATTTTTTTTTATTTATTTTTTTATTTAATCTCTCCAAAAACTGCTACTGGTAATAGTATATGTTACACTTGGGTCTTAATTGTGACCACTTGGGGAAATTAATTGCCCACCGCTGCTATAAACAGTGTCACCACATGTAAAAGTAGTTTTTCCAACTATAAAGTGAAATGCATAAAATTTTATAAGATAACAGTATCAGTGTCAAAATTAACCCTAAAATGCAATATGATGTTGAAAGTGTCTGAGCAGCACTGGCAAAGACTTTATGACAGGCTGCTTTTCATGATTAAAACACATAAGAGATAGTGTAATCCTGTATCTAATTAGCGGGCACCACAAGTCGATTCAGGCTCTCAGAAGGAGAGCAGCAGTCAGAGGCTGGTTTGACTCCCCAATCCTTATGAGATTAATGGCTAACCTCCCTCTGCCCGCTCCATTTACAGACCATGTCAGGTTTTCTTGGAAAGAGCACACTGCTGCTTCAGTTCTCACCTGCAAACATCTAAATGTCACCCTGTGCCAGTGCAGGTGCCTACGTGCGTGTTTATACAAACTGTATGTCAGTCAAGGGGAGGGCATGTCAGTTTCAGTGCTGTGAGGTCAGACTTTTTTCCCACGTTGCCTTTGACCTTAATCCTCACTTTTGGCAAGTCGGTCATCACAGTCTCCGATGGACACTAGTTTGTTAATTCTGCAACTGCGCAGGTTCTCCTCCTGTCGTTAAAGGATCAAGACGAACTCTGGTTTTTATCTGCTGGGCTCCTCACTGTCAGCGTCACAGGACACAGGAGTTATTGCCTGTTAGCGTCACTTTAAATAATAACTTAATGACAGGAAGAGGAGGGAAAACTTGCCTTAGTCCCAAAGCGGGTTTACACAGAGTTTAAGATAAGATAGGATACACATTATTTGTCCCAGAGTTGGGAAATTCCTTTGTTACCGCAGTTTAAATTGACTTAACCACAACAAATATAAAATAAAGAGTATGTAGCTTAATTAAATTGAATACAATATGATCAAAATATTATATCAATAAGGTGAACTACTGTTATAGCTACTACTATTCTTATTATTCTACAACTGAACTTTTCTACTAATTATCAGTTGATCTTTCCCTTCTTTTAACTGATGAGTTATTTGTTTGGTTTACAAATTTAAATAGTTAGCGCTAGAAAATCGCAGATTGCAATTTGTTCTTGCGCCAACATATTAAAACCCAAATTCTTCCAGTTAAACTTTAATTTCTTGACAGAAAACAACAAAAAAAATCATGTTAAAATATAGAGCTAGCAATTATTTGGCAAGAGATTATGTTTAACTTATGAAACAACATGGAACTTTTCATGCATGGCTAAAGCCTGCTAGTACTGGAGCTAATGGAGGAAAGCAATTGTACACAAACTAGCAGCCGTTTAGCTGAGGGTGCAGCAGTTGATGCTATCTTGCAGTGTTTAATGAAGGAATAAACCACAAGGGAATGGAACTAACATACTGTTAGCATGGCTTTTTATACAAAAATTTTATCCAAATTTTATCTAAAATATGTTAAAATTTAAAAACAAAATGAATCATTTTGTTTTTCTTTTTGGGAAGTCGAAAGCTAGACTTCTATTTAAGCGTGCTGATTGGTTGCTTAAGGACGAGACACGCCCTCAATGTCACTCATTTCCAAACAATAATTATATTGGACAAAGGAAGCTGTCTAGAAAGAGGGTGACTATGTAGCTGCCAGGCAGGGAGAAAAGACGATGTCCACAGAGGAGATTCATGGATGGAGTAAAGGAGGACATACAGAGGGTTGGTGTGACACATCATCTGCTGTGGTGACCCCTAAAGGGAGCAGCTGAAGAGCAGCAGTTCAAGAAGATTAATCATGCAGCATTTAAAACCAGTGGGTGATGTTAGAATCCATTGTTTACTACAGGGTTTGGTAATGGCTTACTGCATTACCTAATTAAAAGTAACCATTATTATTACACTGTGCCTAAAGGTCTGTCATTGAATAATCGCAAAATAAACTCCTGGCTGATAGAGAATTAGTTCTATTTTTGCAGGAGAAATGAACTGAAAAGTCAGTTGAAACCTTTAAGATGCATTCCTGCAGGCTATACGTAGTGAGACTGAATTCTTTCTTCTTCTTTTTTTTTACTTGCCCTACTTTTCACTCTGCATTTAGTTAAGATTCCTGCGGATGCTGCAGTCCATCTGCATTGACTGGATGCTCCCCAACTCGCGTACATACTTTCTGCGTCTGTTTAAATGCACATTCATTCCTGTACTAAGTCAGAGTATGCACTGCACACCACCTGGTTTGGTGCAAATGTTGGCTGACATGCTGTGTCCATGTCCGTGTTCTCATAATAGGGGCGCTGACAGGGACTTCTTAATACCCCTGCCTCCTATACCATCAACACTGCTTATATAACTCCACTTATGTGGCTCTGAACTGAAGTATTTCCAACCCCAACCATTGCAGACCCCCAACTTAACACACACACACCTCTGAGTGGCTAAGAATAAATCATCTAGCTGGAAGAGGCTGCAGTAGAAGAAAAGCTTTTGCAGAGGCATGCTCACACACCTCTGACTCTGAGGTTGTTTTATTGATATACCCACTTGTCCTTTCAAAATGGAGATTATTTGTTTTTGTTGTTGCTCCCCCCTGTATTGCTTTCTCTGGTGTTATGCAACCTATGTTGGCCTCGATTCTCAGAGAGGGGAGGTGGAAGAAAGAGAGAGTGAGAGGTTTGGGACAGATGCAGGCCTGCTAATATACCATGGAAAAGTTGGATAGAGGCCTTGCCGAATGGGGGTATCTTCTTTAGGAAATGCCAGAGGGCTTATAACTAAAACGGGCTACAGTTGTCTGTAATAATAAAATGAATATTCCTGCTTATGAAGTTATACTCTGATCAAACAGCAGCTGCCCCAATGAGAAAACGGTTGGAGTAAAACCAAAACATAATGGAACACGATCGGTTTTCAATTCCTCTGTTAGTCACAGCTTAAGTGAATGTCTTTACTGGGAGGAGGTGTTGTTAAGTCACCCTGAAATTGGCCAGTATCAACAACAGTGTAATTAGATGATTGCACTGCAGTGTTAATGCAGCTCATAATTTGCTTTTCTTGTCTCCATCTGCAGCTAATTTTCCCCTACATTGTTCAGTTATTGGCTTTTTAAATGAACAATGGTTGCTTTAAATAGAGGACGGGTTTGGATGAGTCACATGAAGTAATCACCCATTATCGGTGCCGCTTAGTTTGGCAGCTCACATTTTTCTGAACGCTGTATTTCACAGTTGCTACTGCAAGATTTTGGTTTTCCAAGAAGGCCTGCATTTTATGCTGTTGTCATTTGCAGCCGTGCCATCTTGCTTGCCAAGCTGTAGTAAATCTTGTGGTTTTGGATGCGTCCGGGACTCCAAGTGGCTAGACTGCGTGCCACAAGTTGCCCCGCCTCTGTCCTGCAAACAGCTTTCATTTCTTTGCACAGGTGACTCTCTGCAGGAGAGTTATCTGATGTTGTCATCTTAGATACATAAATATCCAGATGCACATCAAACCGTACACTCATTGACTCGCCCTGGCTCATGCAAGCTGCAAACATGCCATAATTTGTATCATGTTGCATATTTTCCCTTATTTTCAGAGCACATAATCCCATTACGGCTCTAATCCTCAGTGTCCATAAAGCTAATTTAAGTGTAGCCATCAAAAATTAGCTTAAAATTGAAGTGACTTACTCTTATTTGCTTAATAGCTTTTTTGAGTGCAGTTCTAACTATTCCTTTTGACCCTTACGCCAAGATGTTTTTCTTTTATGCAAAGCTTTTAGTGTTTCTGACAGAGCTCTTTATATATGAGGAATAAGCTGCAGCCTGTCCTCACATCATAAACTGATCACTGTTGACCTAAAAGTAATTCACTTGGTCAGAGGTCTCCTTTGTGTTTCGCCTTTGAGTTCAGTGCCACATACTCGGGCTGCTGGTGTAATATGACAGTTTGACAGGTGACTGACGCAGGTAAGAGTAGCGTTTCGTTGTGTGACATCAGACTGTGCAGTTCTTCAGACAGTCTGCCTCCTGTGTTGATAGCTCAGCATTAGCCTCGCTGGGAAAACGTCGAGAGGAGGGAGACAGCAGTGGTCAAGCTGATTGTAAGCATAAACGCATGTAGAGCTTTTTTTCCCCCAGAAATCTACCTCAATGCAGAATTCATGGTCCTGAAGTCTCTTGGGAGTTTTCCACCAACCGCCCACCGCAGGCAGAGTTACTCCACCAGTCGCTAAATTGGGCCATTCATCCAGAAGGAAGCACAAAAATGTCTTTGTTTGTCCGATGTGATTGCTGTGTTTGGTTCAGTGCAGTTTTACACAGATTTTAGAAACTTCCTCCGTAAATTTTTAAAGTCAGAGCTCCTCTCATTGGAAAATAAATGTTGTTATGCAACTGGAGGGTCACCCAGATGGATGAACCTGTGGTTTCCAATCCCACAGTGAGCTCATTAGCTAACGTAACAGTGATTTATCAGATCGCTCCCATGCATTTGTATTTGCTGTGTTTATTGCTGCCAACTTATGTAATCAAACAAAACCCTGACGAGACCAGAGCATGTGCACGTTAAAATTTTACTACAGCTACAACTCAACCATCAACACAACTGGATTTTTATGGCAAAGCAATCTTACCCCACTTAGTCATGGTTGTAAAGCTTTCAATCATTTTACATGATCGGCAGATTTTAAGTCTTTTTTTTTTTTTTAATGTTCATATCCTGAAGGTGGTCAACATATTGATGTCTTAAAAGTGCTCAATATTAAGAAATACCTATTAACTTTTTTTTTTTTTTTACAGACTCGCAAGTTAACCAAGGCAGAGCGTCAGCGTTTCAGCGAGGAGGTGGAGATGCTAAAAGGTCTGCAGCATCCGAACATTGTGCGCTTCCACGACTCCTGGAAGTCGACAATGAAGGGCCATAAGTGCATCATCCTGGTGACTGAACTCATGACCTCAGGCACGCTCAAGACGTGAGTCCCTGTGTCCAGTTCCACTTTTGAATTAAACTGCAGATTTGCATGTGTATATGCATATAAAAGACTGCAGTTTATGTATAGATCAAAGTCCACAAACCTAAAAACGGTTCATTTTTGTCTCAAGTAGCTGATGCTCTGTTTCTAAATAAAACTTGCCAAGTCTCGCATACCAAAAAGGATATTTGTGTCATGTTTGACAACTTCTCCTTTAAGTAATGATGAAAGCGCTACTTTGGAAACAATGTTCTAGGAGCAAATTCAGGAAACTCACTCATTTTAAAACTTCCTCTTGGCTGTCAAAATAAGAGATTAATTATTTTGTAGCACTTAAAAGCTTCCTTTTCTTTCCGTGTTTTGATATGTTTGGACTGATTCTTATCCTCTTTTTTTTTTTTTTTTTTTTTTTTTTTTTTTTTTTTTTCTTTTTAGGTACTTGAAGAGGTTCAAAGAGATGAAGCTGAAGCTGCTCCAGCGCTGGAGTCGTCAGATCCTGAAAGGGCTGCACTTCCTGCACACACGCACTCCTCCCATCATCCACCGGGATCTCAAATGTGATAATATCTTCATCACTGGCCCCACAGGCTCTGTCAAGATTGGAGATCTGGGGCTGGCCACTCTCAAAAGTGCCTCTTTTGCTAAAAGTGTCATTGGTAAGTGTTAATTTAGTCTGTGTTTACCCTGCTAGACGAAAGAAATGGCATCTAGAGCACAATTTATCGGTTAATAATGATCTGAAAATATAATTTTATATGCAAAATGCCCTAAAATGGTCTTGAAATGGTGGGAAAATCCAATGGCATTTTACAAGCCTTGCATTTGTGTAAACACCCTCCTGTTTCTGCTTACTCTTATTTCCTCCGTACTCATACTACCATGAATGCCTCTGTTTAAATTCCTGTCTGCATTTTTAAATGCAGCATCATTAACCAAATGGCTTCTAATTTCACCTGGAACTTGCCCATCCCATCACTTACATCCAGGGAGTGCCAGCCGTCACATGCACGATAATAACTTGTTGATTTTTGTTGAAAGTGGCACTGATTTTAAATCATTTGGTCCAAATCAAACACAGTATGTTGGGGTATTTTAACAAGAGGAACATTTTTTAACCTTTTTTATCAGCAAACAACATTAACAAGATTTTTTTTCTGCTGTTTGCTGTAATGATTAGTCAGACTATAACTTTGGACCAGAGTAAAGGACCTCAAGAGCTATATGCTAGTAATACCTGCTTTTCATGCAATGCCAAAATCTAAATATCTGCAAAACAAATGACACTTCCATCAGCATCCATTAACTGTACTGTCTACTTAGTGCTAATTAGCAAATGATGGCATGCTAATGGGAATTGGAAATTATATACATTAATATAAACATGCATGCCTTAGTTAGCAGCTGTTATTGCTAACAATCATGAATATTAATCATTAGTGACTTAAAAAAGAAGGATGCAGGTTAAATTTTATCTAAATAAAAATGTCAGGAAATTCTTGTTTGTTTATATTTCTTTAAAAACATCATCCCTGCAGCTCTGTTCCATTTCATGTTTTTCCTCTGGTCGTTCATGCCTCACCTGCAGTGGCTCAGTGTCCCAGCAGTGCTTCTTACCTCAAAGTCTGGGGATGGTAAATGCTGCTAAAAGGGTAGTAAAGGAAGGGGCTGCACCCATAAGATGAATTATGGGGAACTGTGCATCATGCAAAACTACTTTAATAGATTCCAGGAACAGAGTTGAATGGCTGCTTGTAGAAAAAGGATAAACATGGCTTGCATTGCATACAGCTTGTCCTGTGCACAGGAAAAACTGTCACGAGAAAAGACTGCACGTTCTTCACTTAGTTTACTATATGTATTAGGTCTCTTGTTCTAGAAAGTTGCTCCTGTTATTTTAAAATCTCTATCAACTATAAATAAGTATTAATTTTCTCAAAATACCCCATCTTTGAGCTGTTTGATTTGCAAATTTCTTGTCAGCTGAGGTTTTAACTGCATCAGGCAACTACTTTGAGCAGAAACTCTTTGAGCAGAAACTACCTGGTCATCTTGGCAGAGAGTTTAGCAGTTAAAAAACGAGACATAATACTACTAAGGTAACTGTTACATAAAAAGCTCACCTCATGTTTAAAGCGTGTTCTGATGCCATCAAAGTGGCAATCACACTGTCCAATAAGGGTCCTTGACTCTTATTATGGCTCATCAAGGATTTAAAATAATAGAACAACCTTTAAACCTTTTCTTCTCCCCTGACAGGAACACCTGAGTTTATGGCCCCAGAGATGTACGAGGAGAAATATGATGAAGCGGTGGACGTCTATGCCTTAGGAATGTGCATCCTGGAGATGGCCACATCTGAGTACCCATATTCTGAGTGCCAAAATGCCGCCCAGATCTACCGCAAAGTCACCAGTGTGAGTAAGGCAAAGACGAGGACTACCTCATTTCCCCCGATATTTAGTGTGATTGTCCACATGTGTTCTTCCGTGTGCATGCTGGAATTAGAGAGGAACCAGGATATCTTATTCGTACAAATAGAAATACGTAAAACGCACATGAATTGGGATTGAAATCATCATTACATCTATCAAAGGCTTAGTTTTGTCCATTACGACTTCAGCATGCAGAAGTGTACCGTTTGCCATCCTGACACAGGATTGCACATGTTTTACTTAATGATTGCCAGGGTCTTTTACCAGCTGTTTAACCAGGCCTGGTTGTTGTTTCACGGGAATATTCCCTTGGTAATGAAAGTGTTTCATCAGAAAACTGAGGTGACCTATTGACACTGATGTTGTTAATTTTCTGTCTGAACTGATTTAAGCCTTGCAGAAAAAAATATTTTAACAGATTGCAGATGTTTTTCTTTTTTTTGCATTGGAATTTATCTGTCTGACGATGAAATGGGCTTTAAAGAAGTGGATTTTGGGAACACAGGCTGATGCAGTTCAGGCTGTTCTTGGGGGGTGCCAAGCACATCAGTGACGCCACGGTGGGCGAGAGCAGGCGACTGTAGAATTATGTTTTGGAAAATGTGTCTCACTCCTTACTCCACAAAGAGGCCTGTTTCTTTCTTGTGTGTCGCGTATGCAAAGCAAACAGCGTGTCTGACGGAGGCTGGAAAGTGAGAAAGTGACAATGCCAACAAGTCGTAGTGCTCCTGGCTCCTCCACAGACAGGAGCATTATGTGGAGAAGCTTAGGCATACATCATGATGAAAAAACACAGTCATTAGCTGCTGTTTTTTATGATTTGTTAATGCTTTGTGTTTATGTGGAGCTGAAGTCACCTGCTATTAAAAAGGCCTGCAGTAACCAATATAGCGTGACATATGAAAGGCAGGACAGACGGGCTTCTGTCGTGACTGTTTACAGACTCTCCTTGTTCACATTTAAGTATACACCAAGTAAATGGATAGAAACGTGCTTTCTCATGTACGCTATATAACCAACAGTATGTGGGTGTTTGTGCATTTTACACTTTTTTATCCACTAGGACTTCCTTATTTCATTTTTGTCATTTTCTTCCTAGGGCTGTGCGATATGACCAAAATCTCATATCCCGATATAAGAATTCTATCGTCCGATAATGATATAAATCACAAAAATTTTAAATTTTCTGTAAATTCTGTGAATCTCGGGCAGCTCGACTTGCGTGAAGTGTTTCCAGCTGCGCGTCCTTTACCCGGAGTCGAGTGTTTTAACCGATGCATGAAACTATACATTTTTAGACATAAGTTGTAACGGCCGCCGTTTTCTTTGTATTTATTACACGGCGTGCTGCGGGTTGCCTGTTCTAACGTTTGAGTCTAAGGTTTATTTTTTAGCACCTGGCGGCTCTTTTTTACTTCTCATCCGTAAATAATCTGCTCTTTCACGTGATTCAGTTTATTTTGAAAAGTCTCAACAGGATCTTGAGCTTTATTGTGAAAGGTTTATGTGGAACATAAACAAGCGGACACGCGAAGGTGTTACCGTCGTTGTTGCTAACACAACGCATAAAAACAGGCGCTTGTCCGTCCGTAGTGTGGTTATATTAAATATAAGAGAAAGAGAGAACTTTAAGAAATTAATATAGCCACTACAGTGACCATCAAAACGATGAAAAAATATTGCCGTAAACAGTTTATTTTGCGACACCACGAAACAAACGATAGCGTAAAATGAAACGATAGATGTTTTTATATCGTCATCCGATATATATCGTTACATCGAACAGCCCTATTTTTCCTGCTTTTTACACTTACAGTAAACACACCTGTTGGTTCAGCCATTAAAGCCCGCACCCCCCTTATTTGTACAATTGGAGGCTTACCAATGTCAGAAGCTGCTTCTTTCGTCCATTAAAGGTTTTTTGAACAGGCTGTTCTTCAGCATGATTAAATCCACATTTTTCTAAACTGGTGAGCAAGAAAAGAACATTAATCATTAGGATGGAACAACCCCACTCCATCTGTTTTAAGTGATCTGCTGTATATGCCCAATTTGAGAAACTGCTGGAAACAATGACATCATATCTAGCAAGATTTCCTGGGTTTTGTGTTTGAGATAAAGAACTTCTTCTGGGGTCATTAATGATGATGCTATTGAACTCTTTCTTGCCAGATGTTTAACCTAGCTGGAGGGATTTGTTCCACGACAGCACCAGTGAGGTCCGACACTGATGATGGCTGATAACGACTAGTTTGCGGTTGCCATTCAGGTTTACTTCAAAGCTTGGGGGGGGCTTCTGTGCAGGCCAGTCAAGTTCTTCCAAAGCAGGAAAGAATTTTATTAAAGAGCTGCCTTTGTGCAGGGAGCCCTTGTGATGTTTGAGGAAGAAGGGTCCAAAGACAAATAAAGATAAATTATTACTGTATTAGATTAGAATTAAGTAAAGTGCAAACAGCAGGAGCAGTGTATACAGTTACACAATATGGACAAAAGTATTGTATAGTAGTATAACACCTGTTAATCTTAATCCTTAATTCGGGTGTATAAAACCAAGCAGCCAAGCAGTCAGTCTTTCCAAACAACTGTGAAACACTGGCTCGTTCTAAAGACTTCACCGAATTCAAAACGTTGTAACGTAATACTGTTACTGTTGTAACATAATACTGTTACTGTTGTAACATATCAGTTAATGGAATTTCTTCCCTCCTACATATTCTGTGATCAGCTGTAAATGTAAAGGTAACCAAGTTATGAGTCCCTCATCTCATATCCACATTAGCACAAAACCTTAAAAAAAAAAAGGAGCTTCATGGCATGGCTTTCCATGGCTGCACAGTTCAGGTGTAATGTACTAGTGGTGCACCACTTTTGTCCATGTAGTGTAAATTATATAGAAACAAATGTGTATAGTAAATTGAAGTTAATACTGTAGTGAAGTCATAGTAGGAATAAAAATATGTACAGAATAAGATATATTTTTAGGTGGAATTAGATTTTGCTCTTATAAAACCAGTTAACAGAATTCATTCAGTATTTAGTGAACTGAAGAAGAAAAATGAATTAAAATTAGAAAACAGTAGTAAGTGTTAGGTATTTTGGTCTTATAGTGTTTTTCCTCCTTAGTATACTTGAATTTCTTGTCAAAGAATACCACACTTTACTTGTAAGACATAACCACGCTTTGTTCTCATATCTGTGTAAAATAATTTGGGTTCACTGATAGTTATGTTCCTAACAACATTAAAATCTGACCCACAAACCAAAGTTAATACAAGCGCAGTGTGTTTCTCAAGCTCTTATCTACATGTAGACTGCCGTCGCCACCAGAAAGGAGCTGAGTCACAAATTAGATTTGGATCTAGGGAAAATGGATTTACTCTCAAGGTGCCTACACAGTATGAGGACACTGCAGCAGAGTGCTTAAACAAACAAACAGCATGTCTATAACTGCAATGAAGCGCGCTATGTTTGCACTGGCATGTAGTTGGGATGCTTTATCAAAAGAATGGGGGGGAAAAAAAAAAACACCAAAAATTAAAATAGGAATGGCGTTACTGCGCTGTCTCTCCTCTCAAAGCTCTGTCATTTGCCCCACTTAAACAGGCAGCAGGAGTATGCATTGAAGTTCTTTGTGACCCTGATTAAAGAGAACCAGTTACATGCAGTGACATGTCTGTCTTTAAATGAGATAACAAAGTGTACCACTCAGCCTTTTACTGGTAAATCAAATTATTTAGGTGTTTGGGTGCATCATTGCATTGCTTTGGTATCTGCTGGCCAAATGACCTTGGTTACTTCCTTTCTTATCTTTGTTGTTACAGGACTTGGAGCTCTGCTGTAATCTGTACACAGACTTATGCACATACTGATGATAGCATTTAGAAGAACTCCCTTATTTCTTATTACTGAGAAGTCCTGCCCTAATAATTTTGCGATAAACTGCATGGAAACAGCAACTGTTCTGAGTTAAAAATAAAAATAAAAATCGGTGCAAGGATTGGTGTAAGTTAAAGGGAAAGGAAAGAAGGGAGAGCATTGCTGGGTTTCTTTCCATTTATCCTGAGCTCTTGGTTTTGTTCTCCTCTGGTGTTGACATGGTCGCAAAGCCAAATGTCATGCTGGCTAGAAGCAGATGTCACAAAGCAGACGATATATCAGACATGCGGTGCAGCCGGGAGCGGCTGTCACCGCTTTGATCTGATCGTCTCAGAAGAAGAACTGTGGGAGGAGATCATTGTTGCTAACTTTTTCTGCATAAAGCTCCAGTCTGTGTTCCCTCCTACACTTTTTATTAAGCCTAATAGATGAAATTAAACTCTGTGTTCTTATCTGTTTGCACAGGGCATTAAACCTGACAGCTTCTATAAAGTCAAAGTCCCAGAACTTAAGGAGATCATTGAGGGCTGCATCCGTATGAACAAAGATGAAAGGTAACAATGAAAGCACACACTTTATTATTTATATCATCTTTTCTGCTCTTTGCTATTCTCAATTATTATGTTGCACTATGCTTCAGAAAGCACATACATGATGTCTAGAGGACTTTAAAAAGCCTTAAAATGGCCTAAATTATACAAATTGAGAACCACAGGTTCTGACTTCTTAAACTTTCATCAGTTGTTCTATGCAAGTTGAATTTCCTTAAATAAAGATTCATGCAATCACATCATAAAACCTTGTTTGTTTTTTTAAGAATTCATATTTGTATATCCTAGCCTCCAGATGGCTACCTGAAGTGGCATTTGCCCTCACAGTTTGAAAACCACTGTGTTAAATTTAATTTTGATGGGTATTTTTGTCATGACTCCTCTAATGATTGAAGCACAAAAGCTGCTATTTTTCAGCACATTTGCAGTGAGGCTGCATTGTGGGCAGTTTGTACTCCAATTCATGCTCAGTACCGAGTCACAGTTAATCTCATAAACACACAGCCATGACTGATTTAGTGTGCTGTAATCTGTGAATTAAGTGGACTGATATGAGCTGAACATCTAAAGTAAAAATCTTTAAATTACACAAAATCTCTGTCTGTGTGTCTGTTTGTTGCCTTGTTCACAGACTCCTCATAGACCTTTAACAGTTGACCAACCAAGCTTGGGGCACAGGTCATCTTAGGCCCCTGAAGCCTCTTACATGACATCTTGTTGTTAGTTAGCAAAAGGCTAAAATTGCCCATTTTTAGCATTTAAGCATCTATAAGACCTTACAAAAGCGTTGTATCAGTTATTTCACAGCAGTAACATCCCATTTCTATACAAAAAATTAATAATGCATGATTATTATGAGGCCATTATGATGGTAGTGATGACAATTTAGCTAACAAGCTAAAATGCCCCCTTTATAGCATTTATGAACATGCAACACTTAAAGGAAGCGTACTATTGATTTAATTTCATGGGAATAAAATCTCATTTATTGTCACAAAAGTTGAAATATACATGCCTAAAACCCACCTAGTAACTAAAATTACCCATTTTTAGCATATAAACAACATTGACCAGATACTACTGTACCCCTGGGCATATATTAGTGGTAGAAAGTGCATTTACTCGGAAGAAAGTATATTTTAGCATTTGATTTGGATTTCAATTGCAAATTAATTGCAAGTTACTTAATTTATTTTAAACAATTACAAAGAAAACTTTGTAAAAAGTCTTCAGTTCATCTCCTTTATACCGGTACATCTCTTGTATTTTTTTGTTGTTGTTTTTAAACTGAAACTAGTTTTGGATGTTATGAGAAATAACCTTGCAATAGCAACCCTAAGTGCGATAAAACAAATTACTTTCTCTCTATAGGTACACCATTCAGGACCTTCTGGATCACCCCTTCTTCCAGGAAAACAATGGCGTACATGTGGAGTTGGCAGAGGAGGATGACATGGTGAAGTCAGGCCTGAAGCTGTGGCTGCGCATGGACGACACCAAGAAGCTCCACGGGAAGTACAAGGACAACAACGCCATCGAGTTCCTCTTCGAGCTCTACAAAGATGTGCCTGAGGAGGTGGCACAGGAAATGGTAGGTTGGCACGTGAAGAAAGGATTTTGTGAGGTCAATATTTGCTGCTTTACTGACCAGGTTTGTAACAGATGTTGGTGAGGAAATGGAGTAACTGATTCCTGATCAGCAGATAGAGGCCAACTTAGCCAACTTCCACGTGCTCTCTGCATCCCAATCTTCATTTACGATTTTAGGTTGTTTTTTTTTTTAGGTTTTCCAAATGAAGGGTGGATGAGGGTCCTCAATGCAACAAAAACCTAATTTGGACACTAACGTGATTAGAAAGACAACTAAAAGTGGATTCAGTTGTAATATTTCCAGGAGCGATTTAATCAATCTTTCTTCTAATTGGATGCCCCTCACAAACAATAGGTTTAAAGAAGATATGAGAGGGATACCTGTTCTATTATTGTGGCCTTAATATTCAAAGCTTGGTTATGTTTAACATGATAATCCTGAACTGTAACAGAATAAATGTGACAGAAATTAGGAAAAGCTTAATAGGTTCAATTTAATTAGAGTTGTATGGGGTTTGACTCTTAACCCTAACAGTGAAAGCACATGCACCTCAACATCATTGTGGTTCCTTTACCTTTCTGTTGTTATATCCACTGCAGCTCCTAAGGAGAACACCTTGTGTACTATGTTAAGGTCACAGCTCACCATTTAATTATCAGTGGTTTGAAATGGGAGAGGACGTCTCAGGAAGCAGCCGTAATCGTGTCTTTAATAATATAATGGCTCCTACACTTATTACAAAACCTTATGTCCTCCATAAAGGTCACTTTTAATGAGAATACAAGATACAATTCCTTACCTGTTTACCTTTTTACGGCAGTTTTCATCAAGATCAAATTTGGTATCAGCAGGGGACATCGTGCCAGGTTGATCTGCTGTAATCTGACTATGTGTTGAGAGGTTGTTACGGACTCGGTGTCCCACTCTGCTGAACTGGATGTCATGGGAGGCTGTAAAAAATGCCAGATTGTCAAAAGAATGAGGCCTATGTGTTTTCTTTTTGTAAAAAAATACAACACCGACTTTGCATGTTTATAAAACTCTCAGATAATGTCACAGCTTGCATAAGTAGGTCATTAAATGCAATAGAGCTGTATTAGCACTCATATGCATGTTGTACCCTGACCATTTCCCTGTGCTGTTATGCAGGTTGTGCTTGGCTTTGTGTGTGAAGCAGACTTCAAACTAGTAGCGAAGGCTATACGCGACCGAGTGACGATCATCAAGCGTCAGAGAGAGAAACTGAGGCGGCAGGCCGAGGAGAGGAAGAAGAAGCAGGCGCAAGAAGCCATAGAAGAAGAACCGGAGCACCAGCCGGCTTCGCCCAAGGTCAACGATGTTGTTGCAGCAGATTCCCCCATCCCACCCCTGACACCTCTAACACCTTTGACGCCATTGACACCACTGGCCCCAGTTTTGTCCCCCGTCACCAGCTCTGTGGACTCTGGCGTCAGCACCCACTACCCTGCAGAGCCAGAGGAGCCCGAAGTTGACCAGCACTTTCAAGTTCGCCACAACAGCCTGTCTTCTGCTAACTGTAAGCTGTCTGATATCACATCCATATACCATGAAAAGTTAAATGTTTGCATGCAAAAGTTCACTGTGCAGTATGCAGGATTAATGTAAATGCGGTCCCTTATGAATTACTGTGGAGTAGAAGAATGAAATAGAAAAATACACAAGTAAAGTACATTAAATTTTTGTTAAAGTTTTGTTTAAATTCTTTTATTTGCTGTTCTTAAACTCCGGAGACATGTTTTTCACTGCATTAGCTGCACAAGTGCGCTTCACACAAGGCTTTTCTGATGTCAACGCACGTGGGAGAGATGCAGAGAAAAGTGAAACTGTGGTTAACTGAATTATTCAGGCCCTGTAGGTCTTATTCCATGGTGTGCACATGTGCTGTGCTGAATGTTTCTCAGCTTTTTATTCCTGTTTTAGAGACAGCCATCTGATCTCATTTAAATGTATCCAGAGCAAATCTATTCCACAGTGAAGCCCTTCAGATTTTTCTTGTTTATGTGTTTTGTGTATCTCAGGCTGGGGTCATTAGAGGTGTGTGCAAGAATGCACAGAGTACAGATTGTGTCAGTTTTTTAGGCCACAGCGGGTTATGTGCTAATGGTCGATGTGCTTTGTTGAAACAGCTGACTGCGAGACGGACGGCTATCTGAGCCCCTCTGGTCTTCAGGATCCGCTGGAGGCCGGCAACGTCGGCATGCCTGTGAACTCTCCCACCACGCATCCCAACCCCCCCGCCGTAAACGGTATCTCCCTCCGCTTCCCCTCGGTGAGTGGTTTCAATAAAGAGCTTGTTATAAAAGGAGAAAGCTCAGGGTGGTAGAGGGGAGGATGATTTTGAAGACTTTACAAGACCGCCTTTTCATTAATCTCTCCAATCCAGGGCTGACACATAATTTAAAAAGAATATTAAAGGGCAACACAAACCTTTTAAGAACAGCTTTAAATACAGAACTATAGTTGATGTTTTTTTTCTCTTAATTTCAGTTTCTTAATGATAGTTTTTATTACTAAACTGTTTTAACACTTAACTTAAACCTGTTACTTTATAAATAGATCCGTCAGTCATTGACGACTTATCAGCAAAGCAAGACATTTTTATTAATTTTGTTCGATCCAATTCAGTTTCACTTACATAGTGCCAATTCACAACAATCAGCTCAAGGTGCTTTATATTGTAAGGCGGGCTGTTCAACTCCAGGCCTCAAGGGACGGTGTCCTGCAGGTTTTAGATATCACCTGAATCAGATGATTAGTTCATCACCAGGCCTCTGGAGAACTTCACGACATGTTGAGGAGGTCATTTAGCCATTTAAATCAGCTGTGCTGGATCAAGGACACATCTAAAACCTGCAGGACACCGGCCCTTGAGGCCTGGAGTTGGACACCCCCGTTGTAAGGTAAAGACCATACAATATTAGAAAGAAATCCCAACTATCAGATCTATGATCAAGCACTTGGTGACAGTGGGACGAAAAACCTCACTTTTAACAGGAAGAAACCTCTAACAGCACCAGGCTCAGGGAGGGGTAGCTATCTCCCGCTACTGGTTGGAGGGCCCAGAGGATGAATTAAATATTTTTCCTCAAGTCAGGATTTATTTTGTTTTATAGTTAGCGCGTGCAAAATGCAATTTTTGGGCCATGTTGCTGAATAAATTTAGGTAGACTAAGAGCTTAAAGACATGCTAGCAGCTTGTGCCTCAGTCTCAATTGAAAGTAATTTTTCTAATATTATGTTCATTTTAAATCAGAAAGTGAAAAGATCTGTGATCATCTTTTTCCCATATTTGATGCATAAATATCACTTTTTCTAACTAATCAAATTTCCTCTAAATTTTGCATTTATATAGTCATAAAATCAATATTTTACAAGTTAAAATGTAAACCCAAAAATAACTCAAATTTAGTCATAAGCACTGAAATAACTGTTTTAGAGTGAGTACTTTCCTCACCTAACATCACATATAACTACAAAGAAAATGAACACTGTCTTTTTCCATGTTTATCTTACCACATTCCTGTTTTCTATTCATAGAGTATTGCTGTCTCCAACAACATAGAACACGGCAGTTCAAGGCCTACGAGTGGCTTCAACTCCCCCGTGGAGAGGTAAATCTGTCGAGCCTTTCTGTCCTCCTCACTCCGCCGTTTTATTTGCTGTTAAATGAACAATAGAGTCTAACAATTCCTGCCTAATTTAAGTAAGAAACCTGAAAATCAATGGGAATCTTGTAGAAATGTATTTTCTTTGGATCGCTTCCTCCTCCACTCCTGTGGGCTTTCAGGCTTGAGGCTATAGACAGACTCTGCTGGGTTTTTCTTTGCAGAGAGGCAGAATGGACCCTTGAAGATTTCTTTTTTTGACTGTGTGTCAGATGTTGTAAAGGCCTTGTTTTCTGTGCTGGTGGGATATTAGTGATGTCAGGTTTTTTTTTTTTTTATCAGCATGAGTGCACACAATGTTTGAGCACAATGTGTTTGTGTGTGCGAGTGTTGTGGAGGATGTTCACCTTGGATTTAACACTTTAAGAGGATGATATATCTATTTTTTTGGGGTTTTTTTTTTAGTCTATAGAATATAAGAAAATGCTGTTTTCGTTGCTTAACACACCTCAAAATACACAAATTTGATCTAAAGTTGTGATTTTATTTTGAACCTAATATGTTTAATACAAATTATGTCATCTTCCAATTTATCAAAGCTCTTTTTAGGGTAAATAAAGTGATTGTCAGGCTCTTTCACCATCATCTTAGTTCCCTTTTTCGATTAGCAAGGAACAGTCTACTATAAATTGAAGCAAACATCAAGAGGGGATTGATTGTCATGTTTTGCAACAGCCTGGTCATGCACTGTTTAGCATCCAAAACACACTCCCAGTTGCTTAATTCTTCTGAGAAAAGCCCTCGATAACTGACGACCCAAACTGCGTGTCACAAATAACAAAGAAAACAAAGGTTTGCAGCATCGCCACAGATGTTCGCCTGTTTTTGTCTGATTTCTGTGTACTCAGTGTCTGAAGGTGAACTAAAGTTACCTGTGAGGTGGAGGTTTTTAAATAGGGACTGGTGGGTGCTGCCAGCCAGTAGGCCTGTAAATGTTTGCAGCCTGTGCTGGGGAGGTGGATGGAGGAGGAGGGGTTCTGTTACCACAGTGGTCCAAAAAAAGGCCCATGAGATGTAATTAGCTGAACCAAACCTTTTTATAAAATACCCTGAATGTTCTGCAGTTCTCTGAAACCTAAAACTCCTGTATAAATGTTACAGATCGCACCGACACGTTGCTTTCCCTGGATGAACACCAGCTTCTTGTAGACTCTGTTTGTACCCCAGAGACATGCCACTGTAACACATCAACCCTTTCGTTGACAATTCAGAGTGTTTATTTCTATGTGCCAACATAATCAGTCCTTGTGGATATTCAGATCTCTACTTTTGTTCTAAATGATGAATTGGCTTTAAAATTGCTTTACAAGGAATTTATCAGTGGTTTCTTAGGGTGTGTTTTCTAACTCATATGATTTTTTTTTTTGTACAGCTACGCGTCTGATGTGACTTCAAGCCTGAGCGACGGCTACGAGGGCCTATCGGAGAAGAACGAGAAATCAGTGGCGAGACGAACGGCTGCGAAGCTGTTCAGGAGGAGGGCGCGCTCGAGGCTTCGCATCATCGGGGTACAATAAATCAAATGTTTGGTTTAATTACAGCACAGCAAAATCCTTTTTTTTTCTGCACATAATAAACAAATAAATCAAACTGGCCTGAACTGAATTAGCGGAGGAAATTTATTTATGAGTGAGTGGTGAGGCACCACCCTAGTTATGTAACGTTATCAGTAGCAATGCTGCTCTTCCCCCAGCGACCGCAGTGCATTGCTTTTTTGATCAGGACATTCTGTGGTCATTTAATGAGCCTGTTTGGATTTGCTGCAGAGACAAACGCATCATGGATAACCACATGTGCCTAAACAGTCTGCTACAGTAGAGTGTCATACATGTGCACAAACATGTTGTAACTCCTGCTTTTAGACATGTCATCACCATTGGTCCTCTCTGTCTCCATCAGCTCTCTGATAAAGTGGACCGGGTGGTGGAGTGCCAGCTGCAGACGCACAATGACAAGATGGTGACCTTCAAGTTCGACCTGGATGGAGATAACCCAGAAGACATTGCTGCTGTCATGGTGAGCCATTATCTGTGCTTAGCCCTCAGAAGACATTGCTGCTGTCATGGTGAGCCATTATCTGTGCTTAGCCATTATATTTATATATATATATATATCTATATATATATATATATGTATATATATATATATATGTATATATATATATATATTTATATATATATATATATTATATATGTATATATTATATATATATTAGTATATATACTATATCTCTCTCTCTCTTCGCTCTCCTCTCTCTCCTCTCAACGGTCATCTTTTGTTACATTTCTCGTTTTTATTAGGTTTTTTATAACTTTATTATGTTTATACAACGACATTTTTCTTTAGTCAACTGGTCACATGGCAGAAAATCATAGCATTTATGCACATAGACATTGTCAAGACAATCTACTGAAGTTCAAACTGAGCATCAGAATGTCAGAGAAATTGATTGAAGTGTTTCTGAATGTGGTGTGGTGATTGATACCATATTGGTTGGTCTGAGTATTTCAAGAACTATGGATCTACTGGGATTTTCCCACACAAACATCCCTAGAGTTTATGGAGGGTAGTTTGAAAAAGATGAAAAATGCAGACAGTAGCAGTTGGTGTGGGTGAAAATGCCTTGTCAAAGCCACAGGTCAGGAGCATACCAATTGCTCTTCTGCATACCTTGTTACATCTGAGGTCTGCAGAAGAGCATCTCTGAACGTAGCAGAAGACCACACCGGGTGCCATTCCTAACCTGTCAGCTAAAAACAGGAAACAGAAGCTACAATTTACATCCCCAAAATTGGACAATGCAAGATTGAACAAATGTTTCCTGGTCTTGTGAGTCTCAATTTTTTGCTACAACCTTCAGATAGTACTTTCTTTAGTGTTACCTTTATTGGGCAGCTAATGCTTAAAGACTGTTTAAAAAGACCAAAGTAGCCATTTGTATTTTGTTGGCTAAAGTAGGGCTGCCACAAACGATTATTTTGATAGTCGACTAGTCACCGATTATTTATGCGATTAGTCGACTAATCAGATCATCATCCACTGGATGTAAAACTACAGCTTATTGCACCAGCAGCATCTGCTCTTATATAACTATCATTAGCTTACAGCTTTAAGCTTTTAAGGTGCTAACTAAAAATAAAGACAAGATGATAGTTTATTCAATTTTAATGAAATTTGCAGATTGTTTCGGTAAAGTTTAATAAACTCCTTGCTATCTAAAATATAACAGGACACCGGAGTATATTCTCCAGCATCTCACACTTCTGATAATCAGCTGTCTGCTTGACGTTTATTCAGCTGTGTAAAAACTATAACTTTAATCTCAGCCAAACCGATTTACTCAGGAACAAATAAAATACTAAAAAAAAAAAAAGCCAAACAACAACATTTTTAATTTATCTAAGTGACTCATATATATTTAACCTGAGTCGCGAAAGACGGCGGTGGGTTTGAAAACAATTTGCCGGGAGTCCGGTGTTCTCACGGCGCTAGTGACCTAGCCCCCGGCTAGCTATCGAGCTAGTGGGTAACAGACGTCTCCGAAAACGTCGGAGCGCTTTTGAAAATATGTGGTGTCCTGATAAACTGAGCCGATATTTGAGGTTTACACAGCTACATTCTCGCCTGAAAATATGTTAAACGTTTATTTTGTGACCCAGAAAGAATAATAAGAGTAATATTAAAACTAACTAGCTACCGCCATTGTTGGAAACTAAGCTGGGCCGCGCTATGAATTCTGGGACACAGCTGCTTCTTCTTCTTCGGGGTTTAACGGCAGCTGGCATCCTTGTACATGCAGTGCTGCCATCTTCTGTTTCAGTCCGTTATTACACTCTTAAATCCTGCTACTTCTGTGTCTTTTGCGATCTTACAAAGCTTCAAACGACACGTCGACTATTAAATCAGTCGTCGACGATTTTGATAGTCGACGTAATCGTGACTAGTCGACAAATCGTGGCAGCCCTATTTTGAAGCCTTGTGCTTGACATGCTGGCCTTTGCCATCTTGGTTATTTCTCTTACATGAGAATTATAAGGTAGGATTGGATCTGACTGAGGAAACACGGGACACTGCACACTCGTCTATTTATGCTAAGTGAGAATAAACTTGCAAAAATCAAGATCACGCTTTATTAACCAAGATTTGAACCTAGCAAATGAGACCATAAACTCAGTAGGAATTTCTTTACTGCAGTAATAAATAGAGTAGAAAGTGGGCAGTTTTGCCATCTGTACAATGTGAGTTCTTTTTGCAACCACAGGAGTCGCCCCCTACTGGGCGTTAGAAAGAATGTATGTTTGAGGCACTACTTTTTTGACTTTTATAAACATTATAAGTGCTTGCTACCTCAAATAAGAGTGTAGCACTAGAATCCCTGAGAAATAATAATTTTGATTGATTTTTAATTTTGCTTATATCTGAAATTTTAAATGTTAATTCTACTTCATTCAAATTAGAAAAAATGTGACACAAATTAAACAAAGCTCAGCATTCATTTACTTGAAACATTTATATTTTAGCATTTTAACCACTTGATCTTTGCTAGCATACCAGTGACTGAGTCATTACAGACCTATGGGCTAAAGCCAACAATCCCTAGTTAAGGGTAGGGAAAAACTGAGGGTTCGTGATGAAAGTAAGAGTTCTTCTTGGGGAAGGGAACCTCACATGAATGTGCGATGAGACAGCATGTGCAGTAGCACTTTTTGTTCGCTGGATGTGCAGTTTTCCTTCACTTTAAAAACACACTAGGCTTTTGTTTATTGCGTCTTGGCAAAGCAGGGACACTTAGCTTCACAACAGCACAGTGGTTCTCAGTAGAGGGTTTTAAATGAGCTGAATTATGCCATGTTGTCAGGAAACGATGCTACGCCTCAGCCCACAATTCAGACACACTGAAAACTGCATGAATATGCAAAACTCCTCTAAGCATCTGCTACGTTGTGGATTTCGTAAACCCACAAAATAAACAAGCACTAGTGTACTATATTTACAGATTTATTGTATTACACGTTAAAAATATTTTATACTTTATTTCTTATAATTAATACATTTTGGCACTTTACTCCACTTTGACTGATGACAGCTGTTTAGTTAATGTTGCAGATCTAATTGTTATATAAAAGTCATAACATTACACAGACCAGTACAGAATAAAACTTTAAGTCATTTTATATTAATTAAATAAAATCCCCTCCACTTAAAACTACTGAAAAATACAATCTTAGTAATGAATAAAGACAAAACATATTTTTTACACCATCTTCTAGACGAAGAAGGCCAAATTTCATTTTAGTGTTTACACAAATTATATTGATTATATGTCAGAACTGAAATATCTGGTGATGGCCACTCAAGAAAATGGGACTTCACAAACTAATGGGTGATGTCACAGTGCCCACAACCATCTTTGATATACAGTCTATGTCTTTGTCTGTGAAAGTAAATTAAAAATGACTCAAATTTGTTATTTATAACACTTCTTTTAAAAGCTAAAAAGTTTATTTATGACTGTTGTTTTTTGGCTACAGCTCCTAAGAACCTTATTCATCCTGCACTATCTGGCGAGCTGCTATCGAGAAACTCTAGCTGCTTTTCATAACCTTGTGGCACTTTTGAATTTGACTAAGTGAAGTATCTGAATACATTCTCCATGGTCCTTTTGCCATCTAGGTGCACAACGAGTTCATCTTGCCATCAGAGAAGGAGGGCTTTATCTACCGCTTGGGTGACATCATCAAACGAGCTGAGGCACTGTTTGCCAAACAACAGCCGGTCCACTCCACTGGGCACCGACTTGCCCAGCCTGCATTGCACGGAGGGATTAGCTCACTGTCGTCCTCACAGGTCAGAAACAGCACCTGCCCCTTTCCATAAATCTGCGCCACAGGATTGTTAGCTGAGAGAAAAAGGAAGTGATTGTGTTTTACAGTGCTTATTATCATAAATTACAACATCTCTCTGCGCTGATCAATGACAGACCCATAAATCTGGGACAAATGCAACACTTCAGAGTAATGTCCTGTCCACTGGTAATAAAAAAACGTCACTGTCCACAGTCCTTCCTGAGGTTAGTCCTTTAAGATTAAAGGCTAAGTGCTCTTAAAGCCACCTGACGAAGAGCTTTCACTTAAAGTGCTAATATCATAAAACGCATTAAATCATGTGTTTCCTTTTTTGTATTTGTTTCCGTAACCACAAATCCTTTCCACAACATAATGAACTTTCCAGCATATCTGCCCACAGGGAGTGGGTAAAATAATTTATGCTTGGATGAATTAAGCTTTTATGAATCCAGGTTTTGTTAAGCTGTAAAATGAACTGACTTGTTGGGAGCAGTGTAGTCCCTGTACAAGATGTGACCTAATGTGTAACCAGGTACAGCTTGTCCACTTATGGAAAAGAATCATCAGTTCTGCCAGGATATTTTCCACTTTGTGGAACACAAAGAAACAACCATTCTTGTCCTTTTGGTAAAAAAATATGATCATAGAGATTGAGAAATAATGGGGAAAAAGAGGGAAGTTGGAGCCATAACTACTATTTATCATCTATTTATCTTGTTTCCACATGAAAATGGGAATCGTTCAATGACAAATACGCCTGATACTTGAAAAAGCTTCTAAAGCAAACTGTGTTAATGTGAAAGCATTTCCAGTTGCTGCTTATGGAATATTGTTTAGGAAAACAATGATGTTTTTCTTTTCTTTTCACATTAATATCTGGACAAAGATCTTGGGTTCAACAGAACACTTTAGCCTGGTTGAGTTTACGTTTATAGCGTCACTTTTGATGTGTATTGCATGCGTAGCCACTTCCCCTTACAGCTGAGAGATAATATGACTGCAGTCCTAAATTGTCAAGGAGGAAAAAAAGAAAAAGAGAAAGAAAACAGACCAACAGGAAGTCAGGAAGAGACTGACAAGCCCAGAAACTCATCTGTCCACAGCGCCTCTACTCTGGCTCTTGTAATGCTGAGGTGGGGCATTGTGCCGGGACTCTATTAATAAATTCTATAAATGGAGATTAAATCCCTGGAAAGTCCTGCTTGTCTAGCTGTTCTTAGCTTACTCTACATACCAGTGGACAAACAAAACAAAAACAGCACTTGTGCGATTTCACCAGGTTAGTTTAGCTTGGTGGACACGGCAGCACTGAAAAATGACTACAGAGGAGGCTGAAAACACCTTTAAAGGATGTAATAATATATAAATTAAATCCAAGAATAAAAATACTAGTGAGTTTGTTCACCCAGAACACACTATCCTGTAGATTTTGAAATGTGAAAACTTCAGCCCGCTGATGGCTTTAAAGCAAGATTGTCAAACTATTTTTACATCACGAGCCACATGCAGCCTATTTTGATCTTACGTGAGCCAGGCCAGTAAATATCCCTGTTCTGTCAGGACACAGAAGTTTAACTAATACTACTTATTCCCTGAGATATTTCAGTATACGAAAAAGTAAATGAAAAATCGGTCAACATGACTCTTTAGGCTTAAATTGTAAGTAGTGAATTTGTAAAATTACAGAAATCTAATACTTATTTACTTTGGTGTAGTATGAATGGCCTTGGGGAACGTATGTATTAGTAGAAAAAGTTGTAAAACTTATGAAAATAGTTTTAAAAAAAAAAGTCCAAACTGTATGCCCTCCTCCACATGCTTCAAATTTGATTTTGGCTAATGGGACTTATGTTTTACAGCCCTGCTCTAAAACAAATGTGAGGGGATTACAAAACTTTAAGGAAAGCAACTGATGTTTGCTTGTGTGCTTTTAACAGTCAAAATTCACAAAGTAACTGCAGTTTTACAATGTAAAGTGATACAAAATCAAAAGGAAATAGAAAGAAGGTACTCAAAGACACACATGTTTTTAGTTGACTTGTTAGAGCAGGGGTGGGCAACTCCAGGCCTTGAGGGCCGGTGTCCTGCAGGTTTTAGATGTGTCCTTAATCCAACGCAGCTGATTTAAATGGTTAAATTACGTCCTCAACATGTCTTGAAGTTCTCCAGAGGCTTGGTAATGAACTCATCAAGTGATTCAGGTGTGTTGACCCAGGGTGATATCTAAAACCTGCAGGACACCGGCCCTCGAGGCCTGGAATTGCCCACCTCTGTGTTAGAGTCTACAGAAAAGTGTCATTGCCTGGATCTGATATCTTATGAGGACGTCTAACAAAAAATAGCTTGAGCTTGAAAACATTTATAACAGAAATCTTAAATTACTAAATGAGACTTTGAAATAATCAAACGAGGAGGGCCAAGGTCTAGTGTTTGTGTGGCCTGACACTCAGATTTGATGACTTGATGTTTTCCCTATAAATCCACCATCTTAAAAGCAGTAAATTAAGGTGTTTTCTTAGGCACCATGATAAATGTAGACCTCAAACTAGCAGCAGTTCTCCAATCATGCCTCTAACCAGCTATTAGAGCTAATCATCAAACTTGTGAAGGGGCTTTGAAGTGAGAAAGCAGGCCTTAATATCCAATACAGGACAGAGTGTTTCAGTATTTTTGGAAGGAGAGACTGAATTTATCAAATGTGCTCTTTTACAGCCTAATCTGCACAATCACGCCCTGCCTCGAACACACTCGTCCTCTTCTCTGCCTGGTGAGTTTCACATGTTTTCTGATTAACTGAATTCATCCATTAAATGGCAAACTGGATGATTTGATGCTCTTCAAGAAGAAAAAAATGGTAGGAATCTGAAAGTGAATCAGCCTCTAATTCTAAAAGTACCATCGAGTGTGTGTGTGTCTGAGATGCATGTGAGACTAACTTGCATTTTTTTTGCCTGTGCATGATCATTTGTGAAAGAGCATCGACTCATGCATGTTTGTGTCTCGTCTTAGACTGCAGTGTGGCTAAACCGAGTGTAGGGGTACGTGGCTTGCCCCCATGTCCCAATGGAGAGGTCTCCAGTGCAGACATTACTTCACCTGTGCGACCTCTAATACGCTCACAGTCTTTCCACAACGCCCCAGGTAAATGGCCTCCGCCCCTCCCTCTGGTCCCTGAGCGAAGAGGCCGAGCATTGTTTACTGTTTCAGCACACTGAAAAATTGTTACAGTCCTTTGGCATAGAATAAGTCAAAGCAAAGCTCGGCTACCTCGTAAACCTCCTCCCCTCCTTAGGGCCTGTTCTTGGTATTGTTCAGACATTCGCATGGCGCCATCCGCCGTCACTACACCTCAAAGCCTTCGTCTGTCTCTGCTTTGCAGCAAGGCCTCCTGGGTAATTACCTCACCTGAAGGGCGCTTTCTAGCTTTTAGGGAGCTGTGAATGCTGTCACTGTAAAGCATGAGGGTTCTCCACTCCTGCGATAGTCAGCAACATCTGCTTGCCAGAACAAACTCCTGCTGAATTTCCCTGTCAGAGACTCTCTCTCGAAAGGAGAGCCATTTAAAGTCACTTTAACTGCGCACATCCTTCACGTGCAACCGCATTGCCATCTGTACATCCTCATTCCCTCTTCTCCCGTGTTCCTTCTCTGCTTGACGTCTGGTGCATGGTTGCTTTTGTAATGCTTCTTGGCCACATTACAGAGTGTTGCCTAACCTGTTTCCGTCAGCTTGGAAAAAGTACAGGCTGGTTTGCATCATCAGCAACTGGAGGTGTGGTTTATAACTGTGGAGCTATTGTTGAGGTAGATGGCCAATCAATGGATGGGGCTGGGTATTGGCGTCCTAAGCTATTCCCCAAGGAGTGATGTAAAAATCTTGACTTCTTTAATCTGACAATTAGACCCACAGTCTTGTATACATACACACACGTGCATCCCATTTAAACTCCTCTAAAATGTTGACATGAAAGCCTCACTTGCTCCATTGACGCTAAATCCCTCAGGGCCATGTAAGCCTGGTGTGCAACTGCTCCAGCGATCAGATGCAATTATGGTCCGATGCTGCTTTAAACAAAACATCTTTGTTCACCATGGAAGCTCATTATTTCAAAGGACGGGAAACATTTACTCTATGCTCCTCATGGTGATTATATTGGCAGGCGGGGAGAGGGAAGATTCAGACTGACAAGACGAGGAGAGGAAAGAAACGATATGATCGAACCTAACTCACTGGGTTGAGCACAAACAAGATCAATGCCCCTAATTTTAATATATTTTACATGGTACAACAACAGAAAAGGTTTTCTAATCTAGTCTAAGGTCATTTACTTTATATGTTGAATTAAGCTCCGCTTGTCTCTTTGTGTTCTAGGTTCTCCTCTTCATAATCAGCACCATCACCGCCCTACATCTCTCCTGCCTAATCACCAGCAATACCACTTGCCTTTTATGAACCACACCCACTTTCCATTCCCATATCCAGGGTCTCCTGGTTCACCCAAGCCAGCCGGGATCCATCCTCCCCTCACACGTGTAGCCAGTAACCCCACCTTCCCCTCTGTTCCCTCCCCAACCCCAAACTCGCCGAGTCCTGTGAGTGAGACCCCAAGTCCTGTCAACACGGAATTTGTTAACATATCCCCTCCTGCCCTTCAAACTCCCACCATGTGGCCCCCCCACTCGCAGCCCCTTTTTTCCTTAGCCAATGTAATTTCCATGGCAATGAGCATGGCTCAGTCTTTTATCCCTCCTGCAGGCCTTCCCACCCAAGGGCTGCCCTCATATCCAAGCTTTCTCCCCCACCTACACAGTCATATGGCTCCACAGCCAGGTTACCCCTCTGTCTACCCTCAACCTTACCAGACTTCACCAGTAGAGGCCTCTTACCCTGCAGGGGGGATCCCAGTGCAGAACAATGTCTACTACAGCCCCGAGCATATGCCTCAAATGGATGGAGCTAATTTAACTCACAGCAATCCTCCACAGTGGCCCCACCCTGCCCCCCCACCATCCATGGCTTCCACTCCTCCTCCACCTCCTCCTGCACAGCAGGTTGGACTCACCGGTTCCCCCAGCCGGACCCAGGAAAGGAGTCACATGCCCCCAACCTCAGCCCAAGCTCCAGCTCCAGCTAAACCCAGACCAGAGGTCTCCAGTTCGAATTCAAGTTCAAGCTCATCAGATCTTTCACCATCACCCCCAGAGAGCCCAGAAAACACTGTGAGTTATTTTAGTTCTGATTCTTCTAAAGCAATTTTTAATATAGGAGTGATTAGCTCATTAATCTTTATCAATAATTCTCATTAGTCATTTTTATATTATAGTTCTGAACACTTTATATGACTGCAATTTCTTCCTCACTGCATGGAGCTAATTAGAATAATTGAATGTAAATTAGCATGTAGACGGGGACTTCCATCACACTGCCCTGATTTATTGGTTGAATTTTAAAATGGCATTTAATGAGTATCAGTCGTGTCTGGTCTGCTGTAGCACTTGTGCTAATAATATTTGTTCCTTCTGTTTAGTTATCATCTTTCAACAGCCGGTTGCACCCTGCTGTGCCAGCGAAGAATACAAGTACCCCCAAACCAAAAGCTTCTTCCCCCAAATCTGGTAAGAAATTATTTGCGTGTTCTCATGTTTTTCAAGCAGGTCTCTGCATCACTAAAAAGGCCATAGCAGTGATGTTCAGCTTTTAAATAACTGGAGATCATTAACTACTTCATAAACAAACAATAATGTGATCAGCAACTGCACAAGCATAGACACCAACCTCATATAACAGATTTAGTTTCTTTTTTTAAACTCTATATTTGTGTCATAGTTGCACTGGTTAACTACTAAAGAGTTCTTCTCCGGGGTACATAGTTTTATTTATTGAACGGGAAGATAGCAAGCTGTTATACCATGATTGATTTATAAGTATAACCATAAGTAACCATAAAACCAACTCCTACCTTTCCTATCAGAAAGTTCTCACAAGATTTCCTAAGTACTACTCTAATACTCTAAGTAGTACTCTAAATCTCAACATGCTTTTATTAATATTTTTATATTTTTTGTCTTTGAGTGCTTGAGTGTTTAATCACTCACATTTATGGATGAGCAGTTTTGGAGAAAACTGCAATACAAAGTCTGCTTGTTCTGCAGAGCTTTGCTTAGATAAGCACTTATCCAGAGAGTGTATCCTTGGAATTTTTCTTCTTTTCAAACACTGACTTTATGATTTCCTGCTTGTGACATGTTTATTGTACATGTGTGAATTGCAGCAAAACTCCCCAAGCAGGCACTGCTCTAACATGATGAATGTTACTAGCCAGAGGCTCAGAGTGCTAGAAAATAGCCTATTGTATAATATTTATGTGTGCGTCCCAAACACGCACATGCACCTTTAGCCATCCATTTTGTTGTAATGGCTCAAAATACGTGATGGACCATTTGCTTTTTGAGTTTTTTCCTTCTGCAATCCTAGTTCCTTCTGTCTCTGCTGACATTATCACTTATTACTGGTGCCTCAGTGCTATTGCGTAAGCGCAAGTCTGGATTTAATGTTCCATTCAATATGAACACAAACGTAGGTGTTATTGCAGCCCGGCCCACTGACAAAGGCCAATCAGCGAGCAGCTGTGCCCATTAAAGGCTCTCCTCCCATGTCCACACCTGACAGTATTTATACCCTCCTCAGAAGCCCATATTCAACAGAGTCCCTCTGTTTTAGTGGGCACAGACCCAGACTCGTTCTGCATTTACTGTAAGGAGGACACTCAGTGGGCAAATCGAAGCACTGCAGGCCTTTTAAAACCCTAAATTGCCTCCAGATGTGAGCACATGCAGTCACACTTGGGCTACATTCCATCTTGTCCTCTACACCCACCAATCCGTGACGATTGTAAATCCCTGCGGAGTCACTTGTGGTTGTTGAAGGGGCTCTTAATTAAGTAGTCGGGTAGAAGTAGAATAGCAAGCTTGCCTCTCTCTGACAGAAACGGGAACTTCCAGTTAGCATCTGCAGTGATTTATCCCACTGCCAGATGGATGTGCTAAGATAACGTCCATGAGTTTTTACGCATCTGTTCGGTTCGTTCTTTTTTTTTTTTTCTTGTTTTTTGTTTTTTATTACCCTTTAAAATAATTTTTACCTTTCCAAAAGCATGTATAAAATGAAACAATCACACTCAAACTGATATCTTTAAGTGTGTAGCATTTTCTCCTTATATCCCCGGAGTAGCCGGGAACCGATCTACCGACCTTCCGATTAATACACAACTCTACCTCATGCTCCACTGGTGCAGACTTCCATGTTGGAGAGCCGACATTTAAAGCTAGCTGGTTTTAAACATCCCTTAATGTGGCGAGGCCTCTATTCAAACATGCAAGCAGAGTAAAAGTGTGTAAGGAGACCATGTAAGCAAACAATACTGGTTTAAACAGTGCTGTTAGCATTCAGGAGTCACAAAGCACACTGGAGAACACACTCTAACAAATTACAAACATTAAAAAAAGAGAATAAAAGAGGATGGGAAATAAAGGAATATAAATTTAGTAGAACAATGCAAAAATGACCTTTTTCCTTAAAGTTAAACACATTAAAACAAGTGGCATGAGCAGTACAAAAATGTAAATTGTTAAACTGTACAGTGTAAAAAAGCTTATCTGTCATAAAACATGTTTGGGAAATGCCGGGTAAACAGATTAGCTGACTTTTAAATGAGTCCTGGGTTGTGTTTGATTGTGACTATCCGTCATAGCTATATATCATCATAGCAGCTGTCACTGCTATAATTTCAGACTCTTTAGAGGGAATTCACTTTAATGCTTAGAAATGACGCATGCTGAAAAAGCCTAATACACCTTTAGACCTGTTATTGTCTCAAGAAATATGTGACAAGCTTTTAATCAAACCCATGTGATTAGGAATGATTAGAGAACAGTTGCTGCTGTTTAGTCTATGATTAGCTGTGATTGACAGCCTTTACATGTACGCATTTTCTTCCTCTACACTGCAGAAGTTCAGTCTGCATCAGTGACTGTTGGACGATTCCAGGTGACGCCCAGCATGGACATCCCTTTGCCTGATGCGCCTGCACCTGCAGCCCCCAAGCCCGCAGAGAACGGCAGTAGCCAGTCGGAGAGCAGCACAGAAGAGCAGGGTGAGTCTGAGGCGAGCCTGGCCACCTCCCTCACAATGACCCCTCCTCACCCACAACCCCGCAAAGGTTCTTCGGGAGTCCAACAGGAGGCCGACGGGCAGGCTGGATGGGCCGTGAGCCAGGAGCAGCAGCAGCAGGAAGAGGAAGATGAAGATGAGGAAGAGGTTATCGGGGAACAGCCAAGGGGGAGGAGGAGAAGCCGTCGAAGGGCGTACAGCCTGAGCCTGTTGGGAACGTCTGCAGACAGCGGGCTCTCTGTGACGGCTGCTGATACAGAGGGGAGGCTGTGGGACGGAGCAGCGGACAGTCCACAGTACACCAATGCCCTTCACAATTTATGGATGATGACTTATAACCGCAGTGCTCCCTACCTAAGCAGTGATGACTCAGACAGTGAAGATGAGGACATGCTGGAAGAGCTTCAGGAGCTCAGAGAGAAGTAAGTGACACCACTTAAGATAGTTAAGGTAACGTATAACAAAAAAAAGCTTTTTCAGGAACATTTTAAACTGTTTGCTTAGACGAGCTACATTATGAGCATTCATATCTGGCATTAGTTTGAGAGCACTGAAAAAAAAATTGCATCCGTTTTGATATAAAGAATAACGAGGAAATGTCGAGATTTGCCAGACAAGAGAACAGACTTATTGTCTTTACTGTAAACAGATTGTGTTTAGATAAACCCCCCACTCTCCCAAAGTATGTTCAAATTCAGTACATAACTTAATCAAAGACCTAAATTAAAACTCTGAGTGAGTCTTTAAATGTGCTTCTTTTTGTCCTTTATCAGACATCTGGCAGAAGTTCTGGCCCTGCAGGCTGCCCAGAAAAGAGAAATTGAGGAACTATATAAGAAGATGGGAAAGGTCCCCCCTCCGGGCATCGTCTCTCCTGCTGCTATGTTGTCCAGCCGACAGCGCCGCCTCTCCAAAGGAAACGGTTTTCCTTCGTCTCGCAGGAACAGCCTTCAGCGACTGGAGATGTTACCGCTTCAAGGTAACAAAGAATATTCCCTTCTTTATTTATTATCATGTAAATATGCAACAGCTTCGAGTCTGAATGAGTTTTATAAGTCATGTACTGCTTTCCAAGGTATCATTAGGAGAAACTCTCTTGGAGGCAGCAGCAGTGGCTCGCAGGACAAACCTTTTAAAGGCGTCACTTTTGCCACAGACCTAAGTAGAATGGTGAGTCAGCACTTCCTTAACAAGCTTTTGATTATATGACAAATGAAACAAGGTGCAGGTATAAACAAGTTAAATTTAGCGATTGTTTGCACATTAATTAACATAAACACACAGGTGTAGCCATAAAAACGAATTCATGCCTTTATTTTAATGCCGTTTTTAAAACGCCATTAAATTCAAATTAAGAAAAAACTTCCAATTGAAATTCACATAAAAAATGTTTTTCCTCTGATGTCTCCTCAACATGAGAGTGAGCTGAAATGTAAACGTGGTCCTCCAGTTGTTTGTTAATGTGAAAACAAGAAAGCAAAAATATTATTGTTGATCCAAATTAGATTGTCCCAAATCTAAACCAATAAAGCCTGAACCACCAAGAGTAATCGTTATTCTCGTTGTCTTGACTCATTGGCCTCATATTTGTCACTAAACTTAAAAAGCATCTTTCCATTAAATCCCTGGATCTAAAACATAGTCTGTATGCAAAAGATGGCCATAGCTTCTGGGTCTGGAAAGTAAGGCCAATACTGAAGAGCCTTAAACTTGCATTATTTTTAATGGCCAGCAGGGGGCAACTCCTCCAGTTGCCTTCCCTTGATGTCTGACATCATGAAACACTCAATTACAAGTTTTGTGTCTTATTCAGTACAATATGATGTTCATTTTGTAAATTATAATACCACCCAGAGTCAGAATGGAGGATAAACCTGAGTTACATCCATTAGTCGTTAGCCTACCAGTGTGCAGCGTCCATCGGTTTCTCAGATGGTTTTGAAAGCCAGCTTCCAAACGGAGCCTTCACTTGCTAATAGGTCATGACTGCAAAAACACTTAGCTTGAGGCTTCAATTACTAATGGGTGATGTCACAATTGCCACATAGAGGAGGCAAAAATGTCAGGAGAGGTTTATACTCTGTAGACACCCTTTAACCATTGTCCTCCATACACAACAAAAAAGCATTGTTCTAAATCGTGTTCTTATATTTCACTTTCCTAGTAACAAACTCCAAGCCAAGCACGCCGTTATCTGGACTACCTCATCTGAAGTGTGACTGCAGTGGTCAAACCTGTCCCGTAGGAGGATCGCTTTAACCCTGGCACACCTATCTGCAAACTGCTCCCTGTCCGCCCATGGCCACTTACCTCAAATGTATAGAAACTCATCACCAGTGGAGCTGGATTTACACAGGAAGTGTAACCTCCAGATTTCAGCCCATTATCTCGACCTGGTGAACTTGTTGCAGCTGAAGCACAGAATAGCAGCCAAGTGACACGTTCGTGTCTGCTCTTTGTAAATAAACTGTCAGATCCCAACGGTTCGGACGTAACCACCTTCATTCCAGGCTGCCGCAGTGCTCTGCACAGTGTCACATCACGACATTATTTTTATCTTTTTGCCTGAACGCAGTCAAGCGGCGGTATGCCGTGCCGCAGCTGCCGAGTTGCAGCACTTTACCACGATTTTGACGCAGAACGACAACAGTTGCTGTTTTCCTGCTTGTCTGACTCGCTGCTGTTAACCTAGTCTGGAGCACAGAAATGTGAACAGTGAGACTGACACACACACACACACACACACACACACTGACAGCTATTACACACCTCACTCGCTGTAGTTTGGTAAAGATGTCTCAGCAGCTGCACAGTGAACATACATTTTTTTTTTTTTTTGCTAGAACTGTGATCAATGCCTTCCAGGGGCTTCATTCAGTTATTTGTTGTAGTCTTTATCTGGCTTCCTTTAGTGATTTGGACACCTATGTTTTCTCTAGACTCAGCTTGAAGACGTTTGACCGCAATCACTGATATTTTCAGATGTAGTGAAGGTGATTTTTTTTTTCTTCTCCATTGTACAGCTGTGTAGTAAGATATCGTGTCCCAACAGTGATAAATGTTGTACGATTCTTCAGCAAAAGGCAAATTTAGTTTTAAACACATGGGCAGAAGTTCAGTTAAATGGTGCACAAGTGTAAAAATGTTACGCATCACTTTCAAAATCTGGTAGCTGGTTTTAAAAAAAAAAAAAAGGGGGGGGGGGGGAAAAGGATGGTGAGAAAATCCACCTAGACTTTATACTACTGAATTCCTGTTAACTGTACATGTGTATATAACGGAATTCATTTATAGATCATGTTTACAATTTAGGAGCAAATTAAATACTTCAGCTACCTTAATCCTTTCTCAAGCAAGTCCGATTTGTCGCTTGTTCCAGAGATCAAGCACATTGTGCACTTTAAGTCCACTTGTAGTTCTCAGTCATTTAACACAGTTGTGTGTGAAACTATTCACTCAAGCGAGAGCTAACGAGTTTTCCTGTCATTTTTCCCCCCATAGATGATAATCTCCCGTTTCATGTTTGATCACAGAAGTGATGATCTACCCACCCACTGTTTTAAACAATGTCTATTTTTGTGGGGTGTAGAGGAATCAGTCAAAGCTGTGAATCTGTAGCTGTTGCCTTAAAATATTCCCATCACACACTGAATTTCTTGCCACCTAAACTCCCAAATCTTAATATATTCAAGGAAATAAAGTTTCTAGTCCAGATTTATTTGAATGTAAATATATAATTGTATTGCTTCCTGAAGCTGCTGTCCTGCCATGCTGAATCTGTGCCTTTCCCTAACAATGTCTTATTTTGCTCTTGAGATTTGGTGGCTAGATCCAACTCCTTATATTAAATTTTGATGAAAATAAATGCGATTCTAAGTATTACGGTGTCTTGTGTCATGTTTACTGCTTTCTGTCTCGTTCTTAAATAAATGGTAATACAGAGACATAGCTGTTAAGCAATCTAATACATGAGGCTTTTATTTCATAAATCAAAACTTTATTAGCATAAATAATGTTATTTTTGCAGTGTCACAGGCATTCTCTATTGTTGAAGGCCACTGTAGATTTTTAAGTCATTAGCTGACTGATATTTTTTCATATTCCCTTTATTTTAATCATTGCTGGAAACATCAGATAAAGGGTGCTGATTGTGCTACAGTGTAGCTTCTAAGGTCATGATCAAGTCAGCAGATTGGTCCTTACCACTGACAGGTAACTTCTTCAAAACTACACCACACTTAGTTAAGTCAGCCATACAATTGCCTTCAAATCAAGACCAAGTCCAGCTGTCTCAACATTACAAAAAAAAGAACACAGCAGCCATGGAATATGATCAGTGGCATCATAAGTAGTCCTCCTCGTTAAGTGCAGGACAGAAACAACGTCCAACAACAAGCAGATGACGCTTAAATCTCAGTTGGCACCGGTTTTTGGTCCCTGCATTCTCACACGCTTGGCCTCCTCATCGATCTCATCCATGATCCGCTCCTGGGAGACTGAGTAAAATGTGTAGCCGTCTAATTTGGAAGCAAGTGGTTAAGAGAAATATTTGAAAAGTAGGGCTGAACGATATATCGCATTTGCGATAATATCGCGACATGATCAAGTGCAATTTTCTAACCGCAAAGGCTGCGATTATACTCTGGACATGTCCAAATTCATGGGCTGCATCCTCCTGAGGCCGCATTTGTAGACCGATTACGTCACAGCGACGCGCCGAAGGCTGTCCAAATTACTACCATATCCCAGAATTCATAGCGCGGCCCAGCCAAACTCCAGTTTCCAGCAATGGCGGCCGCTACTAAGTTTTAAAATTACTCATACTAATCTTTCTGGGTCACAAAATAAACTTTTAACATATTTTCAGGCGAGAAAGTAGCTGTGTAAACATCAAATATCTGCTCGGTTTATCAAGATATCCCATATTTGCAAAAGTGCTTCGACGTTTTCAGAGGCGTCTGCTACCCACCAGCTCGACAGCTAGCCGGGAGCTCGAGGGTTACTGATGCGGCCGAGAACGGCACAACTCCCGGCACATCATTTTCAGATCACCGCGGAGTTTCGCTGCTCGGGTTAAACGTAATATATAAGTCACTTAGACAACCTAAAAATGTTATTGTTGGGCTTTTTTCAGTGTTTTGTTTGTTCGTGAGTAAATCGGTTTGGCTGAGATTAAAGTTATTAGATTAGATAAAATAAAACTTTATTAATCCCCCGGGTGGGTTCCTCCTTGGTTTTCACACAGCTGACTAAACGTCAAACAGAAAACTTATTAAACAGAAGTATGAGACAGTCGAGAATTTACACCAGTGTCTGGTTATATTTTAGATAGCAAGAAGCAGACGGCCGAGTTTATTAAACTCCACCGAGACAGCGGTGACGCTAATCAGAACTAGCCTTCTGATTCATTATGTTTGCACTTTATGTGTAATGTTACTGACTGCAGAGATCAGTAAGATGTGTGTATTTTTTATTTATTAGTTTTATTTATTTAATATTATTTTTTAATTTGACTGTCTAGTAGTTCACAGATGTCGAAAAACTGAGTGTGGTAAAGCCACTGATTTCTTTTTATGTATATTTCTGCAATCTGCACATTGTACTGACTTTCATTTTAATGTTTACACCAGGGTTCCTTGTCAGCACTTTATGCTCAGATGTTTGTAAGCTAAAAATAAACTATTGTGTATGTTCAAATATACTGTTGTGATTGAAGAAGTTAAATAAAAATGTCAGTCATCAATTCATGCATCACCTCATGTCATCATAACAGAGGTCTGTCTTCCAGGAAAGAACAGTTTAAAATTAATGTAATATAGTATTGGCCATACTATATGATGTATTGCTTGTCTTTGTTTAATAATACAGAAGACAAAGACCTTAAAAAATAATCGCATATCGCATCGCAATCGCAATATTGGGGCAAAAAATATCGCAATTAGATTATTTTCCATAATCGTTCAGCCCTATTTGAAAGCATGAAAACAAAACAAATTTACCGGAAAAACTAAGTACATCCCATGATTAAGTAAGATAACTTCATTGTCCTATTGGATGACCCAATTCTGAAGAAGAATTACCTGTTGGACAGATGGCCTCAGATTTGACACTAAAATACTTATACAGGGGAGTTCATGATAAACTCAATGATTGCAAGGTGTCCGGATCCTATGGTTGCAAAACAAGTCCAAATCATCACACCGCCACTGTGCTTGACAGCAAGGTGTTTGTACTCATATGCTGTGCATTACGGTCAATCCACGTTGGTCTCGTCTGTCCAAGGGACATTGTTCAAGAAGTCATATGGTTTGTTCAGAAGCAACTTTGCAAACTTATCAAATGCATTTGATTAGCAGCACCTGGCTGCTACTGACGCGCTTAACTGCCATAAGAGTGGATGAAATTTTCAGATTTCGACATCTGTCATTCAAAATGCCAGTGATGCGTTCAGGAAACACGTTTATCCCAAAACACAAGAGGAAATATCATTGCTTTCAGTTAATGGATTTCATTGATCAACAGAATAATAAATTCCTTCAAACGAGGTGCTCCAGAGGCCAGTTTTCGCTGCCAGTTTCAGGGTTGAATTACCAACCCTGAAACTCTTAATGAGTTCTCTTTTAAACGCAACAACACTGATGTTTACCTTTGGCAGTACACTTAAATCGTTTTACACCTACCTGAGCTAGCTGTCACGTTAGCATTCAATGAAACTGACAGTTATTACTCTAACTTAAGTAAGCCGATACATTTGCGTCTGTCTTAATACTTGGTAAACGAGCTTAACCTAACTCCTAAACAGAGGACACAGCTTAACGTTAGCATGCTACGCTAACGTTACATAGTTCACCTTGCGTTGACGTTTGACAAGGATACAAATTCCCAACACGAGCGCACCGATAGCGAGTCCCGTCACCACGTTTCGTGTCCGCAGCTTCGACGTTCTCCTCTTCCACTGTTCCAGTTCCACCTGTCTGATAAAATGCATTTGATCTTGAGAAAGACCCTCTTTGGTTGGGTCTATCCTGGCTGCGTATGGAGCGTTGGATTTCTGAGGCGGCGTTTTGTCGGCCATATCTGCACTTCGTGAGGTTAGCACGGCGCTTTCACGATTGTTACACGCGCCGCTGCGTTCTAAACACT